GCCTCAATCCAAGCCCAGGCCCATTCCCTGCTACGTGAACTTCTACATTGTGTAGAGGCTGCCTTGGTTGGCCATCGTTCTGGCCGACCTTGCATGGCCAAGGGACTCACCTTGCCTACCTTGACTTACTCAGTAGCCAACCGATGGATGGCCACGGCACCAACAGTCAAAGGGCCGGCAAAGAGAGGCCCGGCTGTCGTCAGCGCGCGTGTTCGCAGCCTGAAAAAAAAAAAAAAAATCTGTTGGCTGGCCGCAGGGATGAGAGACGCGTTTGACACGCTGACTGCTGCTGGCCCCTTTCCGTCACTGATGTGCTGTGCCGAGCCCGTCCCGCCCTTGACAGGTTTGTTCATGCCAGGTGCGTGGGAAGCCGACGTCTCTCTCACACCCTGTACAACCTTCGTCATCCATGCGCCCCTGCCCCCGGAGGGCCGTGCTCTTGGTCGTTGCTGTCAACTGTCTTGCGAGCAAAGAAATTCCCCGTCGTCGCGCAAAGTTGAACGGTGATCCTAATTGTCTCCTAGCACTGCCATGGCTCGGGGTTTTTTGCCCACCACACATCATGTGCCAGCCGCGTTGCGACCCGGTTGGTTGTGTCCGCGCTAGAGAAAACTTCCGTGTCTGTTATGTGAAAACGTGCCGGTCAAAGTAAGTAAGGGAGAAAAGAAATTGAAAAATTGATTACTCCAGCGGGAGCCAGAGAAGCCTATTGACCTGAAGCGTCTACTGAGATCCCTGCCATCCACGCTGCAGCCCACCGACTGTGCTTGTGCTAAGGATAAACCACATCGTCTTCATTGCCGCGGAGCCTTGCGCCAAGTCTTGTAGGAGAGAAGAAAATAATCTTAATGATAGTCAAATGAGAAAAAGTGAGTTGGGAAAAAGTGAAAGAGACAAGTAAAAAAAAGGGTAGAAAGCTGAAGAGAATGTCGTGTCCTGCCTGCTGTCATGACGGCATCACACTTGCAGTCATTATCCTCCAGCTGATCTTGCGCTGCAGGTCAGCTCATCCGAAGATGTATCGGTGTAGAAGGGAGACAAAACCCGACCAGTCGAGTGTACTTCTGTCGTGTGCGTCGGCTTCGCTGATAGATGCGAGCTGTTGTTGAGGGTCCATACCATAGGGATGGCTCCTCATCAGAGCTTGCGACTTCGGTAGCGAGCCGTGGAGAGTGGAGGTCTTTTAGAGACTGTTAGGTGAATCGTGATGTAGTTATGCGCACACAAAGGTCACCAACCTACGATCCACGGCCGGCAGCTTGGCAATCGGGGCAGTATGAATCCTTCTCATCCTTGACCTCGTTGTAGTTGGGGCAGCTTTCGACTGGCTGGTTCGACTGGTTCGCGCGAGCGATGGCGCTCCTGAAAGAGGCGCAAGAAATCTCGGCAGGAGGGTACGAGGGTGAGCTGTGGTTGCACCTGAAGACGGTAAAGATCTTGGAACACATTTTGGCTCAAAGTGATGACCGGCGGATAGCGATGATTTAGTCGAGGGCGCGTCTAATGGAATAGGGTACTCTGAGAGAGACGTTGAGGAGATAAGATGTGAGATTTGGTCTTCGTGCTGTGTAAAGCTGAAGACTGGTGGCTTGAAAAGAATCTCGAAAGGTGCAAGGGTGCTCAGTGGTGATGATGATGAAGGAGCTGCTTGGAGTCGAAGGATTTCTTTTTTTCGCAGAGGCGATGTCTTTGGGCCTTTATATGACTCTGTGACACGACAGCCAGACTTTGGCTATTGACTTGAGAGTGAACGTATAATGGTGCGGGCTGACTTGTTTGCCATCGTCAATCCTCTCCAACCATGCAAGTGCAATAGGGCGAAATGATTTCACCGACGGGGCCGAATGGAAGTCTAGATAATGACGGTTGGTTGCTTGCACTCCCGCAGTGGTGATGTTGGAGGTGCTAACTGGGTGGTGTGTTGGTTCTTTGAGGACCCGGTATCACAGCCGCAGGTAGATGTGTGTGAGCCGGCGGTGGAGGGGAATATGGCAAAGTCGGGCGCAGGTCAGAAGACAGAGGACTTGTACCTCTCTCGGTCGAGGTACATGCAGAGGCAACGGGGCCTGCAGGCGGGCCAGATGGGTACTGCGTCGATTTAAACCGCACCGATGCGGGAGATGCCTGCCAGGGAGCGGAAGGGTGGGAGGCCGTGGAGTGATGGGCCTGCGGTTGGGTCTAGCAGAAGTATCGACAACCTACACCACAGCCGAAGTGGGTGATGGGGCCGGGGTACCTTTTTTTTTTCTTTTTTTTTTGCTCTTCTCTCAATCTTCCCACCAGAAAGTCGACGCAGATTTCCAAGAGATACAAAAGACCACGCTAGCTACAATGAGGAGTGCACTCGCATGTGACAACCAGCGTAGAGGGGGTGGCGTCTGACCTAGAGCTTCTGGAAGACGATCCGCAGTTGGTGCGTAGTAATTCGTCTCAAGGTGTGTGCATATGGTGTGGGCGTGTGCGTGTGAGTGGTTTGGAAGGGATCCCTGGTGTGTGTTGCATCAACCTACTGCTGCTGCTGCCGTCGCTGCTGGGTGGCCTCGTGCCTTGGGCTCGGTATTTCTGCGTTTCCCCCCTCCCCAACTGACCAGGTGGGTGCGTGCATGCACAGGGTGTTGGACACTTGACGCAATGCCTCGACGACAAGTCCGGTGTCCAGAGAAGCAGACAAATTCAGCTATCCCGTTGCAAGGGCGGACTGAAGATGGTCTTCTGGTAGGAAGTTGACCGTCGGATCATGGGGCCCCCAATGGAGCAACTGCCAACACAGAGAGTACGGGGCGGCCCGGTTGAATCGTTGGTGAAGGATGAAGAACCACGTTGACAAGTGGTTCACCCAAGCTGAGAGATGGAATATTACGCGATGAGCGAGTGTTGGTCGTGTCACAACCTGTGTGTGGGAGAAGAGACGGGCTGCTGGATGGAGGGCCCCGCTCACGCATGGTGAAGGCAGATGCAGATATTCATAATCCTCCGCGATAGGTACCCGCCACTGCTCCATTGTTCTACGTACTGTCATATCCTAATTGGGATCGCGGTAAAGATGCGGGAGAACTACCTTGACGCCACAGCGCGCCCGCCCAGGTCACTCGAGGCAAGCAAGGGGGGGCTGGTTGCAGGGCCTGCTTCCGGTTGTGGCGAGCAGGCGTGCCAGCTGCACCTAAGGTAGGCAGGAGACCCCATGTGCCGTCTGAAATGCGTGTTCAGGCAAGGAAGTAACGGGGGAAAGCGAGAGCTAGGTAATCCACGTACAGTAGGTAGACAGATGGGCAGGTAAGGCAAGGCAGGGGAGGCAGGGGAGGCAGGCAGGCAGGCAGGCAGTCTAGCCTCCCTGCAATCGCCCAGGCCGAACCTGCTTCGATATCACAATCCGCGGTCAGCAACGCTTTGGCAAGGTTGGCTTACAGGACTGGCTCTTTTCGGACCGGATAAGGTACGCAGAAAGGTGCTTCGCAGGAAGGTTGTCGACCCTTGCTTTTGAATCTGTAGGTACCTACCTAAGGTGAGGTAGGTAGGTAGGCAGTCTCGTACGTTGGGCTTGTGCTACAGAGATGCGCTATGAACCGCTAAGATGTCACACATGGCGGATCCGCAGTGCGCGTTCCGTGGTTAACTGGTTCAGGCATGGCCAGTACTAGGATGCCTTTGTTCTTTTAATCGCCTTCTTCAAGCCCCCGTGAGCCTAGCTGCTGATTAAAAGCCCGGAGAAGCGACGCCAGAGATGTGTGGCTTGCTGAGCCGACTCGAGGGACAAAGCAATCGAACGAGGAAAACACGCCAAGGGAGCTACGGAGAGAACGATGAGAAAAGAAGACATCGTATTCCCTTTCCTTCGCTGCGCGAGTGGCCTGCGCCTGACCACGTCCGCCAGCCATGCTGCCAGACAAGGACAAGAATTCAATGTACATGCAGGGGAGGGCCGAGTGGAGGGCAGAGAAGAGACGATTTCCCCAAGAAATAGCATGCCCGTGGTACGAGCTCTGGGAGTGTCAAAACGCGATCATCAGTTGGTCTGGTTCCGGGGTGTCCCCAGCCAGGCCCGATCTGACTTTCAATTAGAGAGGGTGCGTGCGTGCGTCGGTGTATCAAGGTCTCCATATTTGACACTCTGCCAACCGCGTGCCAGCGTGTGAATGCGCCAGTTCATGTACGTCGGCTAGTCCATGTCATGGACGTGGCCGGTCCCCGCCTGCTTTTGATTGCGGTGATGCATGGGATTAGCAGCTCTCCTTGTCAGGGAAGCTGGGCAGAAGAAAATCGAATCTGGAGACTCGCTGTGTTGGCTCGATCTGCGCAGGCCTGATGACTAGACAACGAACTGTCTTGCGACTCTTGCCAGCAACCAAATCAGCTTTGCCTGCTTCACGGCCTGAGCAGCGTTGCCATCCCAAGGGGGAGCAGTTTTCTGCCTTATGCGACGCAGCAGCATCGAATCAAGAACTTTGTGTGCAACGACGCGGTGCGGTGGGTTCGTTGGACGCTGTGTCTCTTGCAAGCTGTACTAGATGTGCGTGTTTTGCTTTTTTTTAATGTGCACACAAAGTGAACCCGCAACTTTGTGCGTGTGTGCAATGCAAATGAAACCTTCCCCGGCCCGCTGTCCGCGATGTACGCAGCCGTGCCCTGTTGGACGCAGGGACAGCGAAGTCATCACTATCACATAATTCTGACCATGTCGATTTGAAGGTGAGATGACGCCGCCGACGAAGAGGAGCGCGGCGATGGTGTTCGTTCTGCATTGCATTGGTGGCTGGCATGCCTGAGTCGAGCCGAGCCAGCTTGTCGACGACGACGCCGTGCGCAAGCAAGGAATCAAGCCGTACCAACTGCTCAATGGGGCTTCTGCGGTAGTCCCTGAACTGGCAAGGTCGAGATCGGCCTGTCTGGTCTGGGGCAGGTGTTGAGATCCGACCGACGTCAATTGATCGTGGACACTATGAGCGCAACCGCAAGCTTGCATGGCAGGTACAATGTAGGTACTTTGGAATCATTGAACAACACACGGGTCGAGATGATGTCCTGGCTTCTGGAACCCCTGCCACATCTGGATGTTCTCTGTATGACATCGGTTTTGCCTATCGTCGAGTGGCCGTAAATACCTGTCTTCATCGATTATTCATCCTACTCTTTCTCCATGTTGACTTGGTAGCTGCATTCGTGAGTGGAGGTAGCGCCCAAAGATGCATCTAGACCAACAAGGTGACAATCACCTTACCTACTCGTTGTACCTGCCTTGGAGTGAAAAAGGTGACGGGGAGCTTGGGTGGTTGAGGGGTGGGGGGGGGGGGGACTGTGCATATGGCGGCTCTGGGGAGATTTCACACAGTGTTAGAGGTGTGTGGGGGTACACTGTTGTTCTCCCCTTTGACTTGTGATTTGAGTTCAAGAGCAATGAGAAGCGGCATACTGCACGGACGCACTGTGCCGAGTACATCACCACCACCTCGCCCACCCCTGTCTAAGGTACCTACCTACCTTAGGTACAAGTACATAGGTTGCCATGTCGCTGCAGGCAGGCAGGACCTGGAGTTGGGCAGGTTCGATTCACGTGGCAATGGTACCATGAGGCAGCGACTGCCTGCACCTGGTGAGTGCTTCCCTGTCCCCTTTTCCCCCAACGCTCCTGGCTCCTGGCTCTCGGTTCTGAACGACAACGGTCACGGGACGAACCCTGGAGGCGAGTGATGCTGGGGTCAGGACTGATGCAGGATGACGCTCCAGTTGTATCTCTCGCGAACCTCATCAACACGACTGTCTTTGCTTTCTGTCGGTGCTCGAGTCATTCCGGCTCATGACTTGACAATTGACTCTCTCTGGACATGATGGTCTCTAAGCATAACGAAGGGTAGGTGCCTGTAGCCAGACGCACACCACCAAAAGTACGCCAGTCTCTTCAGCTCTGGCCAGCTTGGGACAATATCACCAACACCACCGCCCTCCGTGGACATGTCGTCGACCTTCCACCTTCCTCTCTCGGATGCAAAATAGAGAGGAGTCCTCAAAGCGAGGGCGAACTGATTGAAGATGCCGTCACTCAATTTGTTACTAGCCCTGGTGGTGGCGCGATCATGGTCTGCGGGCAACTGCCCAGCTCCTGCGCACCATCACTCATTCCCTGCCCCTGACTGTCTCGGCATGCCGCTGACCAAGTTTGTCTCCCGTCGGCTCAACTGCCTCGAGTTGGATTGAGTATAGCTTAGAGCTCTGAGGTCTGCGCAGCGCAAGGTCATGCAGCCTCCGCGCGGGACATTACGAAGATAGGTGGTCTCCCATCATGCCGCCTCGGCTCTTTTCGGCTTTCAAGGCGTCCATCACAAAACAACTCTCACCGAGATTATGTTGGTTGGAAGTTCGTGTTGGCTGTTCGCTTAGATCATGAACCAACGCCTGCGTCCTGGCTCGTTTGGACGCAAATCGAAGACCACTGGCGCAAGCTGGAGTTACCGATCCATCGAACCATGCTCAACGCCTTCATGCGGCCGACCTGCAACCCCCTCTTCTCTACCGGCATCATCTGTGAGCTCTCCTGGTCAGGCATCGCCCTCATGGTCCCAAAGTCATCAATTTTGCTTGATTAGCCAACTCTGTCAACCTCACTTGGCTCCCAACGGACTACGACAGGCAAGAGTCCAGCGCCGCATCTTCAATTTGTTTCATGTCGATCCGCAGATGGAGCCATGAATGGAGATTTTTTTTTCGGCTTTACAGAGTTGACTCTACGGCAGTCGGGTGCCTTCGAGAACAAGCACCTGCCTGCGCAGCCACCATCAGCATTGCTGAGGTATGCAACTCCTCCGTCGGGCTCCGAACTTAGCTACAATCATCTACCGGCGCCCCCTGGAAGGGGGAAGTCAGTAATTCGACCACTTTCGAGGTTTCTCCACAGAACTACCCATGACCGCACGAGTATACGCTATGGGATAGAGTCAGTCGTGTCGGTTGCGGGATGCCAACAGTAACAGAAGCCGACGCATATGCCTCACCACACTTGTTGGACCGTCCATTGTGGACTGTGGCAAGCCAGCATATTCGATCGCCGACTGCTGCCAATATAGTAGGTAAGAGGGGGCGGGAGGGTGGAGGGGGGTGACAAGGTTTCTACCATCAGGCACGCGCTTTCTCAACCTGTCAGGTTCAACCAGGGCTTGACTAACATTGGCAGGCTGATTTTACATGCGTATGCATTGCGTGTATCATGAGCTCATTCAGGTCGTCTGTGCCGACAAACGAGACGAGCTAAGCACGCAAGAGGCGGATAACGGTTGTCTACCGCTCATTAACGCGGTGGACAAGTTGCATTTGGTGGATACCTGGCAGACTAAGTTGCCTGCCAGAAGCCACTTGAACGGCCCCGTGCCCACCTCCAGGACCGGCTTGCAGGGACAAACACAAGAAGAAGTCGTCGAGGCATCAATTTTCCCGCTCGGAAACGCAACAGACGAGCTCCAACACCTGGGCATGCGATAAGCGTGTGACGAAACCGCATGCGCGCTGGTAACCACCAATCAGCACCAACATTCTGACCTAAGCGCCGAGGCCAGTTCACGACTCGGCCATCAGCCACTACCACCGCTCGAGTAGCCGCACGCCCCTTTTTGGACGACCACAGACAACTGCTATCGACGACGTAATCTGTAACGTGCCGACTATTGATCACGGAAACAAGGAACAGCTCAGCTCTATACGATCAGGAGTCCAACACAAGATCATATGCGATTTAACATCTCACTTCGTGATTGGTCTTGCCTCTCAACTTCCATATCAAGCTGCGGCCACGTCGAAAAGCGAAATCCCTGACACAATCGGACGTGGCGGTCTGGCTAGATGATTGTATAACGCCGAACGCCTGAGCCCTGCGGCGCGCGGTCTGCTCACGGCTAAGATGAACCTGCAGGTTGAACCACACCGTCACCAACACGGTTGCAGCGTCTGACCTCGAAGCAACGCAGCCGACATACTGTTCACGGACCGATCTTTCCGTAAGCAGTCAAGCAGGGCTGTCTCGAGGATGACGGCGTCTGCCCGAGGCTATTGTTCCCCATGAAGCCGATCGAAACAGGCGAAATACCCCCATGCTGGTTGACCCTGACATCCATCAATACCAACAACATGTGGTACTCGTAATCCCCGCCCCCAACAAATCAATTGCCTGGCCGGATGAGACCTCCGGCTAGCACAATCAGTTTCACGCCTACGTTGACCAGCTCCATGCCTCTTCTGTGGCTCGAGAGGGGGTTCCAAGTCACTCTTGGTACTGTTGGAAAAACTCTACTTTGCTCGCCTCTCGGGTCACACTGCCAAATCATCTCCGCTAATGCATGACCGAATCACAATGCCTTCTTTTGTGGCAGTATAGTGCACTCCGGCCACCCCTCAACAGGACTGTTGGCTCGGCAGGGACTTCAAGCTGGTGATGAGTTGGTCTGTTCATGGGACGATGCGGCATGCCGGCCATCAACGAAGTTGAAATTGACTCAGTTGGATGCCAAGCTCTCAGGGGTGCCGCGGCCGCGGCCCGTCTGGTCGCATAGCTGGCGACCTAAGCAGCCGCGGAACCCTACTGTCATTCGTCTTGGGAGTGGGCAGATTTTAGTTTCTCCAGATCCGGCTTCTGTTGGGTCAATCATCTCGGAAATGCAAATTGATCTGTCGAGGCCTGTGGAAGACTCGGGCATTTCGAACAGCACTTGGCTACATTTTTTTGCCACGTGAAGCCAGCCTCTACCTCAGAAGAAGAGGGCAAACCGATACGACGACGGACGCTTCCATCCTTGCAGGGCCAACCAGGAACCCCAAGAAGTAGGCAACGCTAGCCGACTTGACCAGCCAATACGTTGCAAGGTGGGAAAGTGACATAGCTTTTGTCACTCACCATATGCCGGCCAAGCGGCTGTCCTTAAGCGGTGCGGTGGTCATGGGGTGGAAGTGGAGGGGTTGAAGCCTCGTCATGACCTGAAAACGTATGGCTTGTCAGCTGATTTGATGGGCCTGCAGTCCCCTTCCGAGACGCATACCCGGTGGAAGGTGAGTCGAGCACGAGCTGTCGAGGGAACACACTTGCAGGTGACGAGATCCCCCCCCCCCCGACAATCACATACCTGACTTGCAAGTGATACCAAGGACGAAAACTTGCCAAGGCCAGGCAAATGCCAGGCTGATTGCGCCCCGGCTAGACTCGGACAACCTTTATGAGGGCTGATGGGGGACGATGACTGGGTGTGAATCGCTGGCAAGAAGAAGAATGCCGACTTGGCCCCCGCACCTCCACACCCTTTCACCTGCGAGCACGGAATGCATAGAACGCACGAGGAAATGGTAGACGAGAAGGAAAAATTGCCGTATGCCCGGCACCGTGAAAGTGTGTGGCACACTGTCACTGGCACAGTAAGGCTCGGTAAGGCATCGGCAAGCAGGCAGGCGACCGGCTCCAGCTGCGGCGATTATCGTCGTTCCGAGAAATCCTCTTGACATGCGCCGGAGACCCTATGGAAGACAGCCAGGGCACCGTTGAACCGGCTTCTTGGCTCGGAGCACATGGAAAGACAATCTGACATCTGAGCCGAATGTCTCCACATCCGCTGACGATGCTACGATATCCACGCCGGCCGGCGCCGTGGATTTTCTGGAGTCGTAGAAACTACCTGGCATGACCTCCTACCTGGGGCTCGCTCCCCGCGCCCCGCGCGACACATGACAACCTCCGTTTTTCCCTCTCTACTGGGTGTCCAGCACCAGCTGCACCACCCTTGCGCCACCTGCGGGTACCATTGGCACTGGGGGCAACCGCGGCTTTTCTCTTACGCATTCCTCTATCATCATTGCGCCTCTGTTGCTCTCTTCAACGAAGGGCCAATTGACTGAATTTCGGCCCCACGTGTGTGCACGAGCGAGCGCGCGCTGTTATTACTGGCGCGGCAGGCCGCAGCGGGGACAGAACGAGAGACACTGCGAAATGATGTGAGGGGGTCTCGAGACGAAGATGCGATTCAGATTCTTTTTTGGGCCTGGGTCATGGAGCTTTTGCGGCCCATCGTCTCTGTTTTGGGCGCAGAAGGTGGGTGAAACACCGTGGCCTTCGGTACAGTGGGGGTCTTTTTTTTGGCATCTTCGGCCGAGCACTGGTTTTGGGGGGTGGTTCTTGGTTTTACTGCTACCCATGGCGCAGGTCTAATCAGGTTAGCGTCCTTGCCGCTCTTGCTCAGGCTCGGCTCAGTCCAAGCTCAGTCACGCCTCAGTCACAGCGAAATATGCAGGTTGTGCACAAACAACTGCTGGAACGGTCTGACAGTTCAAACAGTAGCCATGTTCTGTATTGATGGGCCTGTCGAGACTTTTGGTGAATTGGGTCGATGAGTCACATGGGTAGCCTCCCGAGGGGATAAATCCATGGTGAAAGGTTGGCGTACCTTAATACATCCTTTCGTACGAAGAAGATCTGGGAGGGGAGGGTAACAAGCGGGTGCCAAAAATCCACGCACTCCTCGAAAGTGAGTCTACTTGAATCCGTTATACCCATACCTCATAACATCCTTGAACTAATAAGAACTCAACCTATTATGAAAGGTACGCCCAAGGACTGACTAGAGAAAATCTCAGGTTGCTCTGTTCAGGTTGAAAGCGCTAAGAGCCTTATAAAGTTAAGGTTCCGTATGGGTGATTCTTATCCTGGGCAGGTTTGGAATGCGATTTTTTATGGGCACCCGTTTGGCTGGCATGACACTTGTCTGCGGACTGGCATGTAAGTAGAATCTTCCCATCTTGTTCGGCCATACTTCTTTACCTCTAGGCTCCATTCAACACCATGGTCTGCACGACTTTCGACTGGAAGGGCTTGCCCTTCGATATTAGAGCCATCATTTTGAACGTCATGACCGAAAAGGATATTCATTCGGTCCGAGAGC